CCCCCCCAAAGCACTCCAAAAAAAACCTGCTTTCAAATTCAAAACTATAACAATTCTTGTTAAAGTCTGAGAACTTCTGCAGTCCACCTAGTGGTGACCCAGGTTGAACTCAAGCCGTGACAGTGATAGGCCTAATCCTGCTGAAGGAGCCGGGTCACTGTGTAGCAGGAGTCCCCGTCACTCAAAAGACAAACAGGGTAAATATTTAGAAATGTGCTGATGCTTTTGGCCTGCGTGTCAGGGAATGAAGGAATGATCTGTTGTGCTAGCAAACGACTTGAGAAGGTGGTGTAATATGGCTCCACGCTTGAAACATAACATCGTTCTGGCAGCAGTTATGTTTGCGGCTAAGTGCCACCATCATCATGTCAGCATATTGCATTCTCCAGCTGTGGGCTTTTATTTTTTTACAGTATAGAAGTGTTTGAAGGTAACATTTTGAGTGACACTTCTCAAAGCAATCAAGTTTTTGAACAACCCCTTCTTAGCTGCTGAAATGGAATGAAAAGAAGTGCAAATCAAGTATGAAGAGAAACAATAAAAATGAACGAGAACATACATTTGATTTTTTATATGCATTTCAAATACATACTGGTCCTCCAATCATCTTCTGACAATCACTTTACAACGTACAACATTCTTCAAAATCTTTTTTCCCTCCTCTCCATAAAAGCACACACTTGTGTGACATCCACTTTTACTTCTGAACTCCTCTCGAACAGGCTCTCAGTGAAATATATAAATTTTAATCCATTCCTTGTCTCAAACCTTAATCAACCGTTTTTCTGTCGACAACAGCAAAAGAAACAAAAAATACAACAATTTTGACATCTTTCTTGGAACTCGGAAACAGTGTTTGATTGAACAGTTCTATCAATGCCCTGTCTTACCTCCACGTAAGTCTCTGTATTTAACATTCCCTTTTTTTCTGTCATTCTTCGTCAGTCTGTCTATAAAGCTTACATTCATTTCAGCAAATCAGAGCAACATCTATACGCTTTGCTAAACTCATTATTGCACTGTGATATTTATGCATTTTACTTATTTTGCAGTGGTTACAGCTGGTAATAAATGAGTGTGTGCTACCTAAATACTGCTGTGTTTTTGTTGTGGAAAAGGGAAGGGAACCCATCATAATCAGTACTGTCTAAATCATTTTATCAATTTACTCCTTGGTCCTTTCCTAACGCAGTACTATGAGAATGCCTCATCCAAAGCAGTTTAAACTCACTTGAGGGGTATATTTACATGTTACTCATTTCCTTCAACATTTTTAGGTCTCAACCCCAATTTTCTACTTGCGTCATAACAATAGTTCATTAATGATGTTTAAAACTGATACTTTTTCTTCAAACGCTTTTCAAACACAGTATCGACAGTGAAGATTCTGTGTGTTTGTTGTGAAAGTATAATATGTATTGAAAAATCTTTGGTTATTTTGAGTCTTTTGCACTTTTTTTGGCATGTAAGAAGCATACAAGCCACAGCAACTGTGTTGTGTAAAAAGCTTGTCAGGCCATACTACGAATGTGAGCCATATGAAATACTATAAACTACCTCGATACAACATATACCATTATAGGATTTGCAATCAAAGTTACTTATGTAGTACTTATCTAACATTAGTCTGATGAAATGTCTCTAGAAACTCGGTTACTTGGTGATCTACTTCCACAAAACTCTATGAAATCAGAAACTGTGCTTTTGCCGACACTCAATAACGCCCTCACAGGTCAGTGGAGATGGTACTTCGTTTCACCCTCAGGCTGCCGCCCCAGCCGCGGGGACAAGTGTTGTAGGAGTGGAGGCCGGGCGAGCGGAGGCCTGAGTCTTCGGATTCAACAGATGCGTCGGAGTCGGTCAGGGAGCGAGTGTTGTAGAGACGCACAGGAGAACAGATTCTCTGAGTTGGAGTTGGGGGAGGGCTGGTGAAAGTAGGGGACTGTGCCCCCAGTGACCGTGACTGGAAGAGGTTGACGGGTGGTTTCTGACCGTCGTAGCTCAGTGATGAGATGGGAAGACTGTGACCGCTTAGTGCACCAGGAGAAGGGCTGTTTTTACGTTTGGCTGCATTGATGATATTTTTGGCCAGCAGGCGATGGTTGGCTTTAGAGTCCAAGTTGTTAACTGTGGGAGACATGCAGCGACTGTCTTTGGTCAAGGAAACAGGAGAGTTGACGGAGGATGTGTACAGAGGTTTAGTGGTAGAGAGAGAGAAACTGGTTTGAAAGTGTGAAGGAGACTGAGAACGTGAGCCCCATGGAGGAGACACAGGAGATGTGACTGTAGATGGCTGGGATGGTCTGGATGTGGAAACTAAGAAGCTAGAGGACTGGACCTTTTGGCTTACTAACGGTGATTGGCATCTTGATCCCCAAGGAGGGGTGGATACATTTGTTTTGGAAGGTCTGGACGTAGGAACTGAGGAGCTAGTGTAAGGCTGGGTATTCACCACTGGGGATTGGCATCTAGATCCCCAGGGAGGTGTGTGTGGTGAAGTCGCTGTAGATGATTGGGGAGGTTTAGATGAAGAAAATGAGAAACCAGTGGAGGGCTTGTTGTTCTGGGTCGTTGGGGATTGGCACCTTACACCCCAAGGAGGAGAAAGGGGAGAAGGAGATGTAGAAGTTTGGGAAGCAGGAATTGGGGAAATGATAGCGGACTGGCTGACTACTGGGGACTGACATCTTGAACCCCAAGGAGGAGAGCGTGGAAAGGTGGCTGTAGATGTTTGTGAGGGTCTGGATGTGGAAGTGGAGGTAACTGTAGAAAACAGGATATTCTGAGTGCTCATAGGCGATTGGCATCTTGAATTATTACGAAACGATACAGGGGACGTGACTGAACGGATGGAGCTTGTGAGGGGTGGTGGGCTTGTTTGGAGGCTAGAAGTCCAGCTTCCAGTAGCTGGGCCGCCCGGGTTGCCTGTGAGGTTACGTGTCCTGGTTGGTGTAGATGTCTCACTGGGAACTTCAGCAGGAGTGGACTCCTTTGGTGTCTGTTGGATCAGGACAAGTGTTTCTTTAATCTCTTAGAAATATGTATTCAAAAACACAGTATATTAAATACACAAAAAGTTAGGCTATAGTATTGTTAAGCATGTGGATAAGTAAATGAATCTAAAAGGTTTTTAATTAAACTGTGTCAGGATGTGTTGTTCGGAGAGTCTGTTCAGATGAAACTTCACACAATACACCCAGAAGATCAACCAAGTAAACTTAATAAGTGAACCTGTGATGATAAAACTGTGCCCAGCCTGTGCCTCAGCAGCATTCAGGTTATGTTTGTGCACTCCCTCCATCTGTATGTGTTTATCCAGCCTCCCCTGGCTACCAGCCCACACAGGCCCTGTCTTAAGTGTCTCTCTCGGGTTACTGTCATCTGGCTTTCACGTAGAGGATAACCTTTGCAGAGATATGTAGTTACCTGACAGAAGCAAGGCTCGCATCCATCTCATGTCTATTCTAATTAGGGAATACTCCCACTCAGTATGATATTATGATGAAACTAACCTGCTAGGATCACCTTCCCGAGAAGTTATGGTCTCATAAGACGAATGTTAATGGTCATATTTCAAATGTTCGAGGCTACTTTGAAAGAAAATAAGGCCTAGGTCAGGAGTCATAGCATTTGTCTAAATTTCTGACCCCCTCAAGGCCAGCCAGGGCAGAGTTCAGGCCTTAACATGAACACGCATAACTCAAATTGTTATGGGGGAAAAAAACATCTTGTAATGGAAATCTTCAGGTTTTTTCCCCCAGAACTTTAAATGTCACACGCTGTGTAACAAAACAGATCTGCCCCCCCCCCCCTGCCGCAAGCTATCTGTTCAAGGAGGTATAAATTTTATTAGTGTGTTTCCAGTGATTGCTTAAAAGGCAAAAGAGTGAAAGTGACAAACAATTAACATTGGAAAAAGCCAGTGAAGTCAGGAAATGAGGAAAAAAAAGTCAGAATGGAATCCGTGTAGAGGGTTAGCATAAAGCTTTAATCAGAGGAAGAAAAGGTTCAGTCGTACATAAAACAATTGGATAGAACAGACGGAAAAGAGCAGCGAATCAAGGTTTGTGAAATGAAACAGACACAGTCCCTGTGCTCTGAAACAACAGCGTTTGATGACGGAATTACTGCTTCAAGTCATGAAAAACAAAAATATGTATATAGCAGGCAGATTTGAAACACCAAAGAATTCAGGCACACACCATATAGTTAAGTAGAGCATGCTGAAAAGCAGAGTAAATTAGCATGAAGGCATAACGATAGAAAAGTAGTTCTCTTGCTGCAACTTTCATGTCAGTGAACAGCATTAAATTGCAAATCGTAGATCATAAAGCAGATGCTAGACCATCTGTTAAAGTGCTTTGTGAAGCAGCATCACCCGAGTGCCCAGTGGAAAAAAGTGTGAGGCTGTTTCTCATCATATTTTAAAATGTGCTGAAAATGGACGTTCTTGAGTGCTGATGTGCTTCGCGGCTTTGGGAATGGCAGTTGATTTTCATTACGCTGAGGCACATTTTACATTTTCGAAGGATAATTACCAGTCTTTGGGTTTTTTTACTGACAAAAAAGACAAATAATATGCACTGAACAGAAGATAAGACACAGATAGCCATGGCTAAAACTGTTAATCTGTCAATAGTTTGATGAAGATGTTACATAGTGTCTAAGAGACACATAAATTCTCTATAATGTGTGGGATTATAGTAATAAGAAGCACAAGAAAAAGAAGAAGGCACACGTTAAACAGGCAGTGTAATGAATCGTAAGTTTTAGCCCTATCAAAATCACTTCTGCAATCATGTGTTTAGTATCTAAAAAAACCCAAACATTTTCTTTCAACACATTTTCTAAAAACGGTACAAAGAGGGTCTCCACACCTGCGGTGCAATCCCTGCCTTTTTGGCAGAAAATGTGGGCCTTGGTGCCTGTACTGATGACCGGGGAGAGGACACCCTGTCTGGAGAAAAAGCACACATCGGAGAGCTGATCCTCGGATGACCAGATGTCGGATTTGAAGGATAATCTGGTCCTCCTGTAGGGCTGAGAGGTATTTGAGGAGACATGCACTGGGCACTGAAGTTAAAGGGAGGATTGTTAGGGAGTGAAGTCTGTCTGGAGAAAGTTGGAGTGGCGAGCTGGTTCCTGGCCTGTGGTGCTCCTTTGGGTAGGGTACTGATGGGGTCCTTGACTGGGTTAATGATGAAGAGAGAAGAGTTAAGCTGGTATGGCCGGTGCCTCGACAGATCCATCTCTATCTTGGAGCAACCATTTTCCAAAGGCGGCGGCTCTGGAACTGGTTCTGGTGGTGGAGGTTTTTTCATTGGTTTCTGCTTGACTGCTTGTTGCGTCTTGAGATTTTGTGAAAGTTGAGCACACATGTCAGAGTTTTTAGCGATAGCTTTGACCCTACCAGGCATGTTTGATGGGTAAACCCAAGATGGTGGCAGAGACATTGTAGGAGAAGGAGATCTAATTTGGCCTGCGTTCTGATTCTCAACCACATATTTTTCCATCCTGGACTGACGCTTAGCAAACAGTTGAGCACCTTTTCCGGACACATTTGTAAGCGACTGCTCCGGTTGGTGCTCTGCCCTCGGTCGGGTCCTTGAGCTCTTGAGACAAGAGGCCCATTCTGGAGCTCTTGCTCCCTCTGTCCTGTCCTCTTCCTTGGCGAGGAAGTTGGAGGCTTCTGCACCCAGAGCCAGTAACTCTTCTTCAGATCCTGGCTCAGGGATAGATTTGTGTCCATGCTTCTTTCTTTCATCCGCCCCTTGCACTAGAGAAAGTAGCTCGGGGTTTGGAGCGACCACCGGTTTCTCTTTGAATGTGAACATTGACTTTTTATTTGCCCTCCTGGCAGCACCCTCCTCAAGTATTCCTGTTTTGATTGGTGTTGTCATCTTCCTCTCCCCTGATGGCTTAGGAACAAAAGTGGAGGGTTTCGGGGCTGTGGGGGGGCCATAATGGGGCAATTGTGAATACTGGGAAGCAGAGAAATGGGATGGTGGAGGAGAAGAAGGAGACATGACCGGAGACATTGGAGGTGGACTGGAGTAGTAAGTCTGTGGGGGCTGGTTTGTAAAAGCAGGTAGAGGTGGTGTGGGATATGACGGAGGTGGAGGGGGAGGTGAGGCCACCACAGGCTGGGGGACAGTAAAAGCAGGGAGAGGAGGTGTCGAGTAGGAAGGAGGAGGGGGGATGTCCATGACAGGCCTGACGGTCTCCGGAGACTGCACTGTGGGTGGAGAAAAGAAAGGTCTGGCAGTTCTATTGATGAAGGAGCTTGCATGCTTAGATGTGGGCACAGACACCTTCTCAGGACCAGAGGCGCCATGACAGCCATTAGGAAGCTTTCCAGCAGGATCTGGCCCTGTTTGCCTCCCATTTATCTCTGCTTCTCCTTCAGCATGTACTGACACTATCACATCAGTGGTTTTACTCCCTGGCAGAGTCTCACGCTCGGCCTCATCCTCTAGATCCTCGTGAAATTGATGTCGTGCCTCTTCCTCTTGCTCCTCCTTGACAGGGAGGAAGTGTCTCTCTTGTACAACACGGTCATCAGTGTCTTCTTCTTTGTGGAAATCCTTAGCCGGCTCATCCATGATATCGCCCACTGAGCGTACTCTTGCAGGTGTCGAGAAGACCGACTTGTCAGCGGTCGTGTTCTTTAAGTTTAGGTCTCTGTCCTTTTCCTCACTGCTCCTCTCTGCCCATGTCAGTTTGTTGGATGGGGGGTTCGTTTTCACATTCTCAGCTCTGTCCTCCTCTGACCTTTCTCCACAGCTCTCAAGTGTGAAGGCGTTGACTCTCTGCTTACGCCGATTAAAGAGCTGAACACCCCTGGACTTGGAGTTGGAAGGGACGGTGAGCTGAGCAGCAATGATCTGACTCTTGACGCGAGCCTCCTTTAGCTCCTTCTCTGACAAACTGGCACTCCTGGTCAGATCTAAAGTGAAACACACAGGAGAAAACACAAGAAAGGAAGTTCAGCTAAAAGAAAAAGACAGAGGAGTTTTGCCTTCTTGTCTATATTAAATAATAAAAGGAGTAAGACCTCTGTAGACTTGGCAACGTGCTGCTATTCAGAGACAACTCCCTAGCATGTAATTAAAGTTTGCCAAACTGTTTTCATGTACAAATAGAAAGAACCAGAAAGGGCGATTTTTAACAAGTGTGGGATAGAAATATTCTCTTTAAAACCCACATAACTGTTTTGGCACCATGTGGTTTTGATTGCTTTTTTTTTTCCTTTTTTTTTTATTATTTCAGAGTACTTTTGATTTCAACCAATCTAGCAAGGGGAAAAAAGACCTTGTGGACATTTGACTCAGCAGACCAGAGCTGTAGGCAATGAGCCTGGAGACGTAGGCGGAGAAGCATTTGAAATAAACATGTCAACAGCTGCTTTACTAAAGTTAATAAAAATTAAAACAAACAACAACAAAAAAAGATCAAGGTCAATGTCGAAAGCTGCAAAATAGGGAAATTACAGCGAGTCGGTGTCTTACCTTGATTTCATAGGTTTGCTGATTACTGGAATTATAAAATAAATGATAGTTTGTTTTCTGAGCTTGAGAGCTCCCTTTTAGGCGGCAGAGCTATTTCCTTCTGCAGTAGTCCCTCCCTGAGCATTCCTCCACCACTGAGAAAACTCCCTGCCTGTGCTTCCAGCATGCCTTTGGTTTCTCTCTGTACTTAATTTGTGCAGAAATGCAGCTCAAACCCTTAATAGACCATTTTTACAATCTAAAACTAGCCCAGAAAAATCAAATTTTTTCACTGCCTTCTATAAACATACTATACAATTAAGTGTTCCCATTTAAAGTATAGTGAACACATCACTCTTCAAAGTCCACGAGAGGAAAATCAAAGCTGCATCTTTTGCCTTTTTTAGCTCTATAAAAACCTGTAGTCAGAGTCTCTTTGTTGTTATGGTGACACATCTGGTAGATTATTCACTGAAAGCATGTTACTCTGATGGAAGATATTTAAAATCCCTGCAGGACGTTTCTCAGACAGCTAGCTCAGCCATGACTGTTTTTTTTTTTTCATTTATTAAGGTGATGAATCCAGACAGCTACATTATTTGATGTAATCATGTGCCAATCATAATAATTACGCATAAATCAGTCACTTGTAAAGCTGTCCTATAGAACTGAGTCGGCATGCAGTTTTCCCTGGCACAGAGTGTAAAGCCAACACGATCATTCCCCCCAGTAAAAAGGAATAATATGCATCTGTCACTGATTTGACAGACTAAATCTGGCCCTCAGTAATTGAATCAGCTCCTTGTGAGGTATCCTAGAGCTTTTTTTACTTAAACTTAGCTAAAGTTCAAGAGCATACGTGTGCCATCCACTCTTTATTATTTTTTTCATGAACCATGCACCCTGGACCTGCTGTAATAACAAGCAGCGTGTTAACAAAGTTATCCTCTGTGATGATAACAATGATGACGGCGGTTATGTCTGCAAAAAAAATGGATAAGTATAGACTATGTTAAATCATGCACCTGACACCAACATGATCTATCCCCCATATTAGATATTTGTTCCAGTATAACAAGGATAAACACATTACCACACCTTAGACAAGCAGTCCTCTCATAACTACTGGCATGAGCATAAATCACCTTCTTTTATAGACTGCTACACAGAAATGAGCCTACCTATCTCACAGGTACTTTATGTAGACTCGCTGCCTTTTATCATTGTCGTCACTGTAAGCAGTAGCACCACCAGGGGTCCCAGTGACCATTTTTATGAGCTATTTGCTGTTTATAATTCACGCTACCTGAATATACCAGAGCAGAGAGGCTTGAAATGAAGTGTCCTCGCTATAAACATCTACCTTGAGTGGGAGCCAGCTCTGTTATCAAGTAACATGTCAGGAGCAAATCCCAAGCGGTACCTTTTATTTAATTCGAATTTTGATTTTAATTAGCGTTAAATTCTCATGTTTTTAAGCTAATCTTATGGAAAATTCCAACAACAAAATAAGCTGCAGTTATTTTGCATAAAATGTATATTTTAATCAACAACAAATACATAAAATGCTCAGGTTAGGCTCAAAAGTACAGATTGCATGATTACACACAAATCTCAGTGATCTTTACCTTTTTAGTTATAAGGAGAAATAACTTTAAGCTTATGAGCCAGTGTCTTCTACAGAAACACTGCCAATAGTAAGTCATATTTCTTCATAAAACAGACAAGCACAAGCTGCTTCAACATGTTAACATATTCTCACATTTCTTGAGTTTTCTGAAAGCCTGCTTCTCTTGCTGGATCCACTCTAGTGTCTAATCCCTTACCTTTTTCAAGTGAAAACTCAGGGCTCCGCTGTTTTGTAGTACTTCCACAAGAGTTTTCAATTTAACTGCGCCTGATAGCTTCACACCCCCTTTCTGGAGCGAGGTGGGATCGGATTTCTTTTTCCCTGCAGTCCAGCACACAGACAGACAGGCAGGCAGGCAGGGGAGGAAAGGAAGGGAAGAAGGGGGGGAAGGTGGGGAGGGCGTGTAGCTGGAGGCTGTGCTGTCTGTCACTCAGCCTCCAGTGTTGTTTTACTTTTTCAGATCTGTGCCATCGCACTTCCACTTCCACATCCACATCCACTTCCCTAATTATATATATATATTTGTATAAAAAAAACTGGGACGTGACTGCTTGACAAATCTGGGTCTTTCATTTTAGAAAGCTTTACAGAGGCTGCACTTTATTTTGAAAGTTCAGGAGATGGGTGCAATCAGCGGTAAGTAGTCAGCAGCTTATCTCTGTCTGATGTCCTCTGCCCTTGCTGCCCTCAGTGTACATCTCGCACTCGCTCCAACTAAGTGTCTGCCCTCTTTGAACCCTAAGGCCTCCAACCTGCAGGAGTGGGATAGGAATTTCCTGTCCAACATTAGAGTCAAAACTCAGCGCTCAACAGCGATGCAAGAGCCCCTACATCATATTGCCTACCCTTCCTTACTCCTCCACCTCCAACTTTCTCTACCTCTGCCCTCTGCCCCATCACCTCATCCCAGCACGGGTGAGATCAGACAGGAAAGCTCCCCCCGCCCTCACGGCAGCGGGATTTAAGTCAGGGAGGCCAACCCTGCTTTTGTGTATCAAAGGTCAGATTACCCTGTCGGATGTTATCTTTCTCCGGGTGATGGCTGTGGGGTGGGCATGGATGACAGCACCAGCCCCTGCGGGTGATGCGTGAAGCGGTATGGAAAGACGAGGATTAACAGAGGTCCTGAGATCCTACCAGACTGAATGTGACCTAAACTCTCAGCAGATTCCCCTGGGAGGAATAAAGAAATCCAGTTCAGAGGTGGAAACCAAGCTCTCCTGCTCATAGCGTTACTGTTTCATGTGTTAGGAAAGATCCCACCGGAGCAGTTGTCCACTTTCTCCGCCGCCTTTTTGTTGTTCTAGTGATCTCTGTTTCATTTGAGGAAACTAGTGAGTAATGAGTGATAGGAAGGGTATTGGAAGCCCACAGGCTATAGATCCATATCAGGAACAATTATTTGAAGGCTGGAAACCTTTTTAATGCACAATGCCTTTTTACTCACTTTGAATAGTGCATCTGAAAAACTTGTCACCACCAGTAGTCATGTTTTCTGTGTCTTTTCATGGATTCAACATTTCTATTTTAAAACAGGTTTTTTGAAGTTAAGTTGGCAACTGTAGAGGTAAAAAGCAGAGGGGCATTTCCAAACAACGTCTCCCACAAGTTAGCCTGTTATTGCTGTGGCCAGGTTGTATATTAAGACAGTCCTTTAGCAGTGAGGCATGCTTGCATTGGCACAGCTGCTACGAGAACCTGTATTTTTATGACACGGAAACAGATGTCTCAGAGACCAGTTCATTGTGTCAAGTTGCTCTGATGAGTCCAGACTCAGAAACAAACCACTGAATGTGCATTTAGAGTTACATTTTCTTGTAAGAAGTCCAAATAAGGAGAGAAAATAGCAAATAAACAAGCACTTACTTGTTTTCCGGCTCATGTGTTCTTTGTTGAATCCTGTCTTCTCCCATGACGCATTGTAGTCTGTCCCACGGGTCTGCACGTCTTGAGTTAACTGGAGAGGTTTTCTCAAGCCCCCCGGGCTCCAGCTCACCCCTCTCCTGATAGTTGTATGTCCCTTCTCCATCTCCATCGCCGTCTGTCGCAGCAGGAACAAGCCCTCAACGCGGGAGGGAGAAACGCTAGTGCTTTGTCCCGCTCGGCTCAGCCTCCTCTCCCGATAGGATGAAGCAACTGGTGAAAGATGAAGTTTTACTCCTTACTGGCAAACAGTGAATTAGCTGAAAGAAAACACCCACGCAGAAGATGAGGGAAAGGTAGTAGCTCAGTTTTCCCAGTTTCTGTTTCCGGTCACGGCTCCCCTTTCAGCAATAATTCTTCCAAATGTTGTCCTGCAGACAGCCGAAATTTGACGGAAGAAGCGTGTTCTTGCTTTGGTCTTCATGAAGTATTATCCTGCATCTAATGGGACGTCCCAGGAGGGTCAGCTTCGATGAGCATTGGATGAGCTCCCATGGATAAATGCCACGAAAATTGCACAAGATTGTTGTGCTGTGTTAAAATTCTGGCACGAAGGGCTGAGAAAGAGTCCAAGCTTCTCTACTCACATCTCACTAATACTCCTTTTTTTTCTTTCCCAGATGTTGCTCTTCCTTCTCTTCTATTTTAGTCACAAAAACAAGTTTTTTGCCTGCACCCCAATCTTCAACTCGCAGATGACTTTTCTTTTGGAGAAAAGGGATCTGCCCTTTATCTCACAGATCATAACTCTTGAGTGGCTCGCAGGGAAGCTGTGTATATGAGCGGCTTCCTGCTTTTGGGTGCGTGTGAGGAATAGCATTTCATACTGGAAAGGTCACTGCAGAGGCTGGTTTGTATTCAGTGTTCAAAAGCATTCAATTAGGGCTACTTTCATCTGGTGTCCCGTGTTATTTCTCAGGCATTAAAGCCAGACACGGTCTCTGAAAGTAAAATGATCGATTTCATTCTTCTGCTTTTGAGGAAAGCCATATGTGAGAATGAAGATTCCTATTTCATGCGGCGGATGTTCTGACTTCCACTGAAACACATCAGTGGGCTGCAGCTAAGACTTCAACAGTTCGACCAGTATGGCTGATTGTTGGATTACAGATCGCTGCTCTGCTCTGTGTTCGCTGTATGCCCAGAAGCGCCTGCAAGAAAAAGGAGAATATGCAGTTATGTCAAAGGTCAAATCTATTTTAGGTCAAATAAAAACTGTATGATGCATCTAACCAGTGTTGTCTTTTTTAAATAATTTCACTGCTTCGTACATGATTTCAGGAAGGCCATCTGATATTTAAAGACTTTTTAATGACGTGGTCTGAAGAACATCATTTACCTAACTCTTCTGATGAAAGTTTAGTTAGTTTACTCTCAAAAATAAAAGCATCAAACTCAACTTATCTCAGTTTGTAAGACGGCAGGAGTCAGAGATAAAGATCAGGCTTCTCACTTTGAAGTGCAGTCACACTAATGGTGCAAAGTCGGAAACGAGAGGCGCCTTTTAAAAAAACAAAAGTCTGATAAACTCTGTTGTCTCCCATGAAGGGAGGAAGGCTGCAGTCCATTCAGGTTTGAGTGTTTGGGATCTACTGTGTATTAAACCTGTCAGACACAACTTATCCCTGCCTCAGGGTCTGCGATGCGATAGAGCACACTGAGAAAGTGAATGTGGACTTAAGCTTTCCATTCAGCGTGAAGTAAAGAGAGAAACAAAGACATGAATATCTTGCAGTGACATTAAGTGGGCACACATCCTCCTTCACTCTGACCCTGTAGAGTATTTCTTTAGCTCAGCAGTGTCATGTTCCTCCTTCAAAGCCAACAGGAGCCACTGGCAACATTTGTAACGGTAAACCACTGTTTGCACATCTCCTTGTCCTTGATCGGACTTGCCTCACCTCGAAGCTGATTGGGGTTTCATTTTTGCTTGTGAGTCACTGCTCATGAGTGGGAGGCTTGTTCAAAAACTACACACGCACACATTTCACACTTATTATTTTTAAATGCCTTTTCTGAGATTCCTGAGAAGCAAAGCAATGCTGCTTTCTCGAGGTGTCTAAGCACCGTAAACTTGTTTGGATCGTTTGAAGGCTGTGTTTTTGTTTCGTAAAATAACAACTGAGTCATGAAAATTCATAGCAGGGCTGCACATTAGTCCCTGGACACAATCAGCCCAAACAAAACCCTGCCCCACCTCCCTGCTGTAAAAAAAAAAAAAAACCCAGCAACAATCCTAGCTTACTGGCATGATCGTGTCAAGTGACATGAAGGCTGGTATTGTTTAGACACTCTGACAATCGCTCTTTGATTCCTCCAGATGTGCGATCTGTGCTTGGATCACTCAGAAAGCGACACTGTCTCTTCAGATTAGCTTTCACCGTGTCACTTTCCTGCAGTGGTTTTCTGATATTTTTCTTCACTCGCAGTTGTCTTTGTTTCCTGTCTCCACAGAGAACATAGGTGAACACGTGTGGAGGACAGGTCCCAACACCCCTGGTTTAAACATGGGTTGATTGCCAACTTTGATCCAGTCTGCAAATATTTATTAAGTGACAGACAAGGAACAGATGTAAGAACTCTACATGAGCAGAGGCTCTGGCTCAGGAAACAAAACACCAGCATATGGACTTTTGATATCTGCATCTGTCCCAATCCTTTCTTTATCTCTTTTTCTTTCTACTTTTTATTCATCGCGGCTTGTTAATACGCAGCTTGACGTTGTATTTCTCCCAAACAAACCTGTGATATCTATCCCACTCTGGCGATTATGTGCTTGCCATACGTAATAGTCTGATATCTCTTCCACCACCACCACCACCTGGTCTCCAATTACCTTAAAGTTCAAAAAGTATTTCGCAGTGCCCACCTGTCCCGCTTGGCTTCCACCCCTACACAATATTCCTATGCCACCCATCTGCCTCCGTGATCAGGAATCAGGGATCTAATTTACAGTTTGGCCCCGCAGGCTGCTTTAATGTGTAATCACAGAGTTCCTGTCCATCGCCAGCTCATGATGGATTCATACCAGACAGCAAATCTATCCCTCTGCCCTCTGCGGCGTGTCTCACATAGTGACAGCGCACAAAAGAAATTGCTTTTGGCACCCTTACAAAACCTTAATCACTCATTTGTCCCTCATGGCTGTTGTCTTGTGTGTTTATTACACATCTGCATCAGTAGTCAGCTTGTAGAATGCGTGTCATCCACCTAATAGCTCACAAAGCGCGTGTAGTTTCACCCCAGTAACGGCATCTGCACATCATCAGTTGCTCGGGGCGCACATGAGCGGATGTCAGGTGAGCGCGCATTCCACCTACTCTGTGACTTGAAGTGTATCATTTACCCAGCTTATAATGAGGCATCGGGTCAGAGCATTGACTTGAACTGCAAGCCTTTATGACTGAATCCCTGAGGGGAAGATCTGCCGTGTGTCTGCTATCGTCTGTCTTTTGCTGGGATGTTTTACAGTTAGCAAAAAAATAAATAAATAAATAATTTAACAGTAAAGGCTAAAGGCTTTAGCGGGGCCTCTCTCTCTCTCACTCACTCTCTCTTGCTTAAACAAAGAGCTATTCAAGGGCCCTCGCAGCACTACAAAATAATTTGGGCTAGTGCTCCAAAATGGGCATTCCTGCTTCATAATTCCTCAAGAGGCTGTGATAGTTAACATGCCGCAGCTTGTGCAAGCTGATGACAGACATCTAAAACATTGCAAAGAGTCATCCCCAATGAAACGAACAAATGTCTCTCTCTGTTTGCCATTGCCGAGAGTGCGATCATAAATCATGCAGTGGGAAGACCTTGTAATAAAGCGTCTGCTTCGCGCGCAGCTCATCCTGCTCTCGTTGTCACAGGTGGGGAACTTCAAGAGGTGAAAATAAATACTTGAAGTAGGTGTGTGTCATCCAGTGCCAAGAGGGAGGCACCTCCTTGAAACAATCAGTCATAATCTGAAAAACTGTTAGACATCAAAGGCAGCGGGCACAAACACTTTTTAAAAATGTAAAGTTGCAAGCAGGAAACTACTGGCTTTCTGTTCGCACTGAGACATTTGACAAAGTAGGTTTCTGCTGTTTCAAAGCATCTCCCATTACAGCAAAAATAAAGGAGGTGTAGTTTGCTAATCTGTGTAACACACTGTAACATATAGCAGAACAAAGCCTCCTGTTGCTCCCCCGTAAAGCAGTTAATGGGCCTCACCTGTTGTGTTAACAGGAAGCAATTACTTATATATGCGTAAGTCAATACAGTCTCCAGTCAGGACTTTAATTGGATACACCCTCTAATGTTACACAGTGAAGTTCAAGTCTATAACATGGCCACAGAGCGGGCTCCACACAGTCAGGACAATAGGCTTGGATATCAGTGACCACAGTGCTAATGTAGCCAGCCAACACCCCCACCCCAACAACCCCTGCAAGCCTACAGCCTTCGCCAAGGGAAAAAGCAGCAGCCACAGATGTTTGTCATCTACTCAAACAAAGACTTTCAGAGTTTCCCTCCTCTTCTGCCCCAGTTCGTCGCATTCCCCGGACTCTCTCTCCTCTTTCCCCAAGCAAAGATAGTGTCTTCTTACCCCATAAAGATAAACTTAATAGGCTGCAAGTGACAAAGCGAAGATAAAATTCCATGATTCATTAAAGCAACCCCCCCCCACACCCCCTCCCTTTTCTTCTTTTTTTTTGTTGGTTAGGTTTGCTGCTCACCTGTGCTCCGGTGCGTCTGGCTGTTTGAGGCGGCGAGGGTGTGTACTGGCCCTTTTCAGTTCCTACGAGTGTGCGAGCACACCTCCCCTTTTTACCTCTTCTCTCCCACTCCCTCTCTCTCTCTCTCTCTCAGTCGAAGCAGACGAAGGATGGGGTGGGGTGGGGGGGGTCAGTTGGAACACAGAAGGCTCTTTGTCTGGGATTTTTTCATATGGTTTCCTTCAAGCT